CTCGCGGTCGACCGCCGTTGACTCGCGGTCGACCGCCAGTCTGCCTGGCTAATTCTTGCTGATTTCCTAAACTTCTCTCGCCACTTCTTCAATTTTCCACCTCGACGAATGTTTCTACCAAAACTGAACGACATCAAATCATCCAAATGTCCCACTTGTTGCGTCCAGGATTTCGTGGAAACATCTCATGACAACAGACTCAATCTACAACAAGTCGGGAACCCAAACGTGAGCTGAAACGATCTCCCCCCATCTGAATCAAACCGACTGCATCGAAAGACTGCCTATGTATCCTCTTGCCTAAGCAATCAAGCCGAACGTAGTTCACCCAAATGGCTTCCAAAGACCTCAACACTGAAGAATGTTCAAAAACTTCAAACAATGACCAAATTTCACACCTGAAACAACTTTGGTCATCATATCTGTAGGGTTATCGTTCTTGTGGACCTTCTCTAATATGACGTCTCCATCATCCAAAACATCACGAACAAAATGGAATCCGTCATCGATGTGCTTCGTGCAGCATGATAAATCTGGTTCTTCGCCAAATAGATAGCTGACATGCTATCACAAAATATCTAAATGGTCTCCTGTGCGATCCCCAAGTTATCCAATAATCCCTGCAATCACAAAGCCTCCTTAACAGTCTCAGTCACCGCCATATACTTCGTCTTTGTAGTAGAGAGAGTCATTGTGCACTGAAGTGTATATTGCCAACATACCGGTGCACCTGCCAATGTAAACACATAACCTGAAGTAGACCGGCGCTTGTCAAGATCTTTAGCATAATCTGAATTCATGTAACCAATACAATCCTGCCCATTCTTCTCATCCTTCTGGAATACCAAACCAACATCCATGATGCCTCTAACATACCGTAGAATCCACTTCACGGCCTCCCAATGACCCTTCCTAGGGTCGTGCATGTATTTCAATACCATGCTCACGGCCTGTGATAAATCCGATCTCGTACACACCATCGCATATATCAAGCTACCTACTGCACTGACATATGTAATCTTCGACATATAATCTCTATCCTTAACTAAAACAGGCGACATCAACACTGAAAGCTTGAAGTGGGGAGCCAATGGTGTGCTAACTACTTTTGCATTGCCATCAAAGCTGAATTTCTTTAACATCTTCTACAAATAGCTCTTCTGTGTAAGCTTCAATCTCCCCTTCACCCTGTCTCTCTCGATCTTCATACCCAATATCTTCTTTGTTTCTCCAAGATCCTTCATCTCGAACTCGGATGACAGCTCCTCTTTCAACTTTCGAATAGCCAAAGAATTCCTGGAAGCAATAAGCATATCGTCAACATATAAAAGTAAATATATGTGCTCACCATCCTGTAGCTTGTGCATGTAAACACATAGGTCATATGGGCTCCTCGTATACCTATGGCCAATCATGAAGCTGTCGAATCTCTTATACCACTATCTCGACGATTGCTTCAAACCGTAAAGAGACTTCTTCAGCTTGCAAACTAATTCTTCTTTTCCTGTATCTTTGAATCATAAGGGTTGTGTCTTGTAGATCTCCTCGTCTAAATCTTCGTGTAGAAAGGCTATCTTTAGATCCATCTGGACCAAATCTAAATCTAATTGTGCCACCAACGCCAATAAAATCTGAATCGACGAATGCTTCACAACGGGTGAAAATACCTCGTTGTAATCAATGCCCTCAAGCTGTGCATATCCCTTGGCAACTAATCTGGTTTTGAACTGAATGTCCCCAATAGAAGATCCCTCCTTTTTCGCATATACCCACTTGCAACCAATAGCTTTCTTACCCTTAGGTAGTTTTGCAAGTTCTCAAGTGTCGTTCTTCTGAAGAGATCGCATCTCCTCCTCCATAGCTTCCCTCCACCTGATCGAATCGGGGCTAGACTCTGCCTCCCTGAATGTGGATGGAACCATATCATTAACGACCTCCACTGATAATACATATGCGACCATGACATCATTATACCTAGATGACCGACGATTCACCCTCCTCCATCTATCTGCTACAATAGACCCCTGAACATGACCCTGCTCCTGAGTCTTACCATCCACTGTATCCTCTATTTGCCCGGCTGTCATCTCATTTCTTCCTAGTGTCACATCTGTAGGAGCCTCGATGGATACAATGCTATCTGGAGTCGGTGGAGTCACATCATCCTCCACCTACTGCGATATCTTAACTGTCTGGTCTCCCTCCACCTGCTGAGGGACTCGAGGCTTCATCATGTACGCCTCATCGAATGTGACATCTCTGCTAATAACTATCTTCTTGTCCCGTGGATCCCATAACTTGTAGCCTTTAACTCCATCTCTAAATCCCACAAAGATAGTTTTCCTCGCTCTCGGATTTAATTTACCATCACTGACATAGTAATAAGCTGGACACCCAAATATCCGAAACAACTCATAGTCACTAGCTACCGAACCAAACCAACGTTCCAAAGGAGTCTTCCCATCTATCGTAGTGCACGACAACCTATTCACGAGATGGCTCGTATAAACCAACGCCTCGGCCCAAAAGGATTTAGGCAATCCACTCTGCGTCATCATACATCACACATTCTCCAGCAAGGTACGATTCAATCTTTTAGCCATCCCGTTCTGTTGTGGTGTCACTCGAACTGTAAAGTGTCTTCTAATACCGTGATCCTAACAAAACTGCAGAAATTGATCACTTTTGTACTCTCCATCATTATCTGAATGTAGAGTCTTCACCTTTCTACCTGTCCGCAGCTCCATTTTCTTTTTTCACTCCACAAAAATATCTAGGACCTGATGTTTATGCTTCATAGGATATATCTAATTCCTCCTAGAATAATCATCAATGAAAGTGATAAAATAATTAGCCCCACCAAGAGATGTGTCTTGAAAGGACCCCAAACATATGTGTGAATGTAATCCAATGTACCTCGGGTGTTGTGAACAGCGGTGCCAAACTTCACTCTAGTTATCTTACCAAGTACACAATGCTCACACAGCTCCATCTTGCAGGTCTTAGCACCTTTCAATAGCCCCTGTTTTTCTAATGACTGTAGGGACTTATCACCTGTGTGTCTAAGTCTCATGTGTTATAAAGTGGTAGTGTCCTCCTCTGTAGTGATAGAAGCTGCCAGACCCTCTGTAACTATCTTGTCCTTCAAGTAGTATAGGTTATTTTTCCTGACACCTCGCATCACTACCATAGAACCCTTCGTGACCTTCACTGTAACATCCTCTGAGATCACTCTATATCCAGTTGTCTCTAAAGTCCCAAGAGAAATGATGTTCTTCGTAAACTTTGGCACGAACCTCACTTCCTTCAACTCCTTAATCACTCCGTCATGCTTCCTAATCCGGACTGAACCAATACCATAAATAGGGCATACGTGGTCATTACCCATAAGCACAACATTCCCTCCTTCCAACTTCTCAAAACTAGAGAACTAATCACTCCTAGGGCAAATGTGATATGTAGCTCCCGAATCTATCATCCACTCTGTGGAATCAGCATAGCAAACCGACGATAGTACACGACACGAATAGCCCGAAGAATCTAAATTTGAATGCTCATCAATAGCTTTTGTAACATTCACTTCTGAAGCTTGTACAACTTTTTCCTTGTTCTTCCCGGCTTTTTCTTTCCACTTTGGGCAGTAAATCTTCCAATGTCCTTCTTCTTTATAATACCGACATTGGTTTCTACCAACATTCTTATAGACACTCCTATTCTTTGACTTTGAGCGGTTGAACTGGTGGGGGTTCGGATCTCGGCCTCGAACAGCTAATGCATCTCCCGATGCCTTCTCGGAGGGTTCACCATCACTCTTCCTAAACTCATAATTTACCAGAGCTGAGGTTACCTCCTTGTAGCTAGCAATAGTTCTTCCATTGATCATAGTTAGAACGAACGTACCATAATCATCTTCCGACAACGAACACAAAAGTAACATCACCTTGTTTTCATCCTCAACCATGATATCCACATTGGCCATATCTAAAAGTAGCTTCATGAAATTGTTGACATGCTCCCTAATGGAAACTCCCCTCTTTATCTTGAACTGGTAAAACCTCTTCTTCAAGTGAAGCCGATTCTCAATGTTCTTAGTAAGATACTTCTCATTGAGTGTTTCCCACATTCTCTTCGCCGAAGTCTCGTTCATAACATCATGAATAAGATCCGACGTTAAGCATGACCGAATAACTCCACAAGCCCTACTATTCATCTTCTTCCAAACCTTATCCTCCATGTCTTCGGATTTTTTTTGTAACTCAAGAGTCTCTTCCAAATTCTGTGCATCCAAGACATCCATTATCTGACACCTCCACAATCCAAAATTAATCTTGCTGTCAAATTCGGAACATCAATCTTCGCGTTATTGATGCTAAGACTCTGTATCGCCTTCGAAAGAGACGAACCTGATATGTTTGCTTCTCCCATGTTGTCAATCTAACTCTGCAGATAGGAATTCTTCACCGAATCCTTCGAATAAGCCTGAAGCTCTGATACCAATTGTTGTGCGTGGCGGAAGCCTCAAAGCGACACGAACAAGAACAAGAGATAAATCATAACTAATAAGCCAAACACAATATCACAGCAAGACAACGAGTTTAACGTGGTTCGACAAGTTGCCTACTTCCACGGGGCAAGGAGGGGGGGGGGGAGTTCTTATTATTAGAAATCAAGAGAATACAAATAGAGTTATAAATCTCAACGATCAAACCCCAAAACAAAGCTCTAGATCTCTCACAAATCTCTCACAATTGGATGCAGCAATTCTCTCCCAAAGACTGCTCAAAATCGTCATTGCATTAACCCTAACTAACTAGGATTAGAGTTTTATATCAGTCCAAAACGAACCAGGTCAAATAACTGACCCAACTGCAAACTTGCTACGCGGTCGATCGTGGCGGGCGGCCGTGCAGGTATCGCGGTCGACCGAACACCCCCGACAAAGAATAAATCGATTACAGAAAACCCACAGTCGACCGCGGCGGTCGATCGAACCAATTCCTGAGAGTTAAATCGCCTACAGGGTCCGTGCGGTCGACCGCCACGATCGACTGTCTTCAGCTCCAGAGCCTCTTGCTCTCCTGTGCATGTTCGCGGTTGACCGCCACTGACTTGCGGTCGACCGCCAGTCTGCCTGGCTAATTCTTGCTGATTTCCTGAACTTCTCTTGCCACTTCTTCAGTCCAACATGACACGGAAGAGTTAACCTCAATTACGTGATTTATTAATCCAAACATGTTGAATCATATAGTCATCTAAATGTTTCTATAAACGTAAGACTAAATGTCATTTCATGCTTTTTACTAGAGCAAACACACAATAACTAAATGAATGTGGGACATTCTTGACAGTATATATGCTACACATGCACAAATAGAGCGATGCTGGGAGAGGAAATTTTATGTAGGAAAAGTTTGAGAGAGATCTTTTGGACCTACTCGAAAATGCACTCGTGAAATGGGAGATCACACCTTATCCAAAGTCTTTTGTCTGTGGCAATTTTGGTGATCCTCACTCGATGGGTAATTTAATGGGATCTGAAGGAACAACATAGGCTTTGATTCAATAAAGGCATTATATTTCCACGATTCTAATTCTCTCAAGCTATGACGTGGATCTTATCGAGTACCAAACTTTTAGTTGGCCTTATGCGATCTCAGCCGTCCGATGAATGATCAAATTGTTTTGAGGAATGTTGCAAACATCAAATCCATTAACCCGTGCACCAGAGTTCCATCATGGCACACTTGGGTCTTTAGCTCAGTTAACGGCTTTTGAAAACTATATAGTATCACTAGTTGCACGAATTGATACTCATTCTTACAACCAAACACTAGAGAAAGAGCTTCCTTCTTGATTCTTCTCTCTTTGTTCCCCCCGGATATTTCTGGAAAAATCTGATAGCTATTTTCTTGAACAATTCAGATAATCATCTAGACAAATATTTCAAACGTCAAATTAATCATGTTCGAATTTGAATTGTTTGAATGCTGAAACTTTTTGGAAACTAATGCTAGTAGAATAAGGATATTTCCATCAGTGTAGAATTATATAAATATGAATGAGATGAGGGTTTGTGGATAACCTTTTAGAAAATTTGGAGATCTTCAATTGTTTAGTATCTCTTTTGATTGCGATTATCTCATCTCTTCTCTCTCTAATCTGTGTTCTTTGTTTCTTCTAAATAATAGAAGGACCACTTGTTGTTGCTTGAGGGCGTAGGATTTCCTCCGGATCATGTTAAGTTTGTATGTCTAGAATTGCCTTATATTTTTGTCTTGATCTTCATGTGTGGTAGTTTGTGTTTTCTATAACAATTATGAGTAGGTTGTTGATGAGTATTCCGATGGATGCAATACAAAAACTACTGCATTGATGCTTTTATTTAACTCAAAGCAAAATATTACACATCATTGACTAAAATTTAATAAAATATTTTTTTTTCCAGTCTTACAGTATTCACCAAAGTAATAAAATGAAATAAAACAAAAAGAAAAGAAAATGAGGAGGGTCCATTGTTCAACCTCAATCCACTTTTGGTCCACAAAACCAAGCCATAGGAGAACTTGAAGGGTAGTCAAAGTGAAGTCTCTGGTCTGTCCTTTCGCAAAGCATAAATACCCCTCTTTTACTTTTTCAGCTTTAAAACCTTCTCGCAATCAATCTTTGCTTGTTTTTGTTCACCCTTTGTTCTTTTTTAACAGTTTGCTATCAAATAAAACAACACATTGGGATGGCTTCTTTTCCCATGTCATTGTCTCAAACTAGAGATCTCTTATTCACATAGAAAGAAGTATGTAATGTATTCCTCCAAAGTACCTTTGGCCTATTATGCCTTATGACATATTGTCGATTTGTAAGATCTAGGTACGTCGCAATGGCTTTTGTATTTAATCCCATATCCTTTTTTTTCTAACATATTAAGACAAGGTAAATATAATTTCCTTATAATTGGAAGCATACCATCCCATGGTTCAAGGAGAAGCATAAGATTGCCTCTTCTTTTGAGTGTAAAACATTTTTAGGTGATCTTGATCCGACTCGGCCTAGTGTACGCTAGTTGAGGCTTCTAGGAGCATCTCGAATTCATTGAGTTCAGATGCGATTTTGATCTCACAGATTCATGACATGAGATTTAGTCTCACGTCTAAAGTAAACTCACCCACCTAACTCAGAAGGAGGATGATTTATTAGTTTAATAAGTATATTGTTGTAGTTCAGTTATGCTTTTAAATATATAACTAAAATTAACATAATATGTAAGTAAATATACAAAAAATATTTCCTAGCAAAACCTTACAGGCAACTTGTCCAATTATGGATTTGAATAGTTAAGCTAACAAATAGGAAGGCTTTTGGAGGGTAGCTTTAAGAAGAATTGATGGATTCTGAGGTACACAAGTAGTAAGTCCTAAAATTATCTGGATTAAGATAACCTTAGTTTACATCAGATTTGAATATGGATATAACAGGTAGGGTCTACAAATTAAATTTTCTTACCCTACCTTGACCTACAAGATTTACATCTCATGACATTATAGTAATGATCAAAGCAAGTCGTATAAAAAAGGGCTTCTATAAGGAATCATGTGTGGAGGAAGAAGAATCCAGCACGTGTCACATTATCAATTACTATGTAAGCAGAATTGTCAGTTTAATTAACAATATTATTTATTGCAATAAGGATATTGTATAGAAAAAATCCCCAATCCCCAAGAACAAAAAATATGGGACCAACATAGGGGACAAGTGAGGTGTCTCTCTCCTATTGCATAATGATGACAAACTCATTATGCAATCGGAGATGGACACTTCACCTGTTCCCCCTGTTGGTCCTATATTTTGGATCACTGTAACAAATCTCTATTGCATAAATGCAATCACCAAATTTTAAATCTCTATTATACACTTGTCGTTGAGATCTCCTTCCCCTCTGCGTGGTTTTGGGTATCGAGGCCCTAATTTTCTTTCGTCAAGAAAGAGCAAAGATCATTGTGGGCCCTTTTTAAGCATGGGCCTTCTTATGCCAGGCGGAAGGTTGGGCCAACAGCTAATACTTCAAAGTTCATGAACGAGAACAGCAAATTTTAAACACAATAATCTGAAGGTCTGGAGGGATTTCCTCCTGTCTCCCAATAATTTGCATTTTCTCTTTGGCTTTTAAATTCCTTTCTACTCTAACTAAAACCCTGCTTTTTTTCTGTTGGTGCATCCTTTTCCTCTCATTCACCATCCCAGTTCTTGGTATCCTCTATCTTCTGTGCTTGGGTTCTCTTTAGACTGCACACTAGCTGTTTGACGAAATTCTCATGTGATACTCTTCTTGATTGGTTTCTGACATTTCAGTGCACCAAACACTGCATTCAGCTATTATTATTGGCTCGTGTCATTAGGGGTTATCTTGAAATGGCTCGATTGCGCCGAGTCTTTATTACTTCTTTGCAATTTGAAAAGAACTTTGTTCATCGATTTTGTAGCAAGATTGAGTCTCTAGAGCTGCCAGCTTGGTTTAAATTCTCAAAGGGAGATCAATCTAATGGTTTGGACTTGGACGATGATTTTGTTCTCCCTACTCAAATTGAGAGTTCGGAGCAGAAGATAACTAGTTTGAAGATTGAACATCATCATGCCATTGTTAAGATTACGACTGGAGAGACTGCTGACTCTGATGTCGATGAAGTCACTAAGGTTATGAAACATAATTTCATCTCCCCAGGGGAAGTTGTTAAATCTCTTGGCAATTGTTCGTTCAACGTTTCAACAGAATTGGTGAATAGAATCTTAAAAAGGTTTAGCAATGACTGGATACCTGCATTTGGCTTCTTTTTGTGGAGTGATGCCCGAGTCGGATTTAAACACTCATCTGAATCTTACGACATGATGGTTGACATTTTAGGAAAGTTTAAGCAATTTGATTTAATGTGGGCATTAGTCGAAGAAATGAAGCAAGCTGAGGGGTTGGTTTCACTAGTGACTATGACGAAGATTATGAGAAGGCTCGCTGGTGCTGGCAGATGGATTGACTCTATAAATACATTTCGCGCTTTAGAGAAATTTGGAGTCAAGAAGGATACTACGTCAATGAATGTTTTATTGGACTCTTTGTGCAAAGAGAGGAGTGTTAAGCGAGCTAGAGATGCCTTTTTAGAGTTTAAAAGTGAGATTTTGCCAAATGCTACTACTTTTAATGTATTGATACATGGTTATTGCAAGGCAAGAAAGCTAGAAGACGCTCTAAACACTATGGTAGAAATGAGAGAATTTGGTTTTGTTCCTTGCGTTATTACGTATACTAGTTTAATTGAAGCTTATTGCTTGGAGAAGAATTTTGAAACGGTTTATGCTATTCTTGATGAGATGCACATAAAAGGCTGTTCTCCAAATATCGTGACTTATACTATTGTGATGCATTCTTTAGGAAAGGCGAGAGAAATAGAAAAAGCTTTGGAAATTTTTGAGAAGGTAAAGAGGGATGGTAGTGTCCTTGACACTTCATTTTATAATTCTCTAATTTATATACTATGTAAAGGAGGAGAGTTGCAAGATGCTAATGATGTATATGAGGAGATGCGCAAGAATGGGTTCACTCCAAATGTGACTACATACAATACTTTGATTTCATCTTTCTGTCATAAATTTCAAGAGAAAAAGGCTTTGGAGCTACTCCTGAAAATGGAAGAGGATTCTTGCGAGCCTGATATCAAAACATATGCCCCTTTGATGAAAATGTGTTGTAGAAAGCAATGGATTAAAATTCTTATGTATATGTTGGGGCATATGGTTAAGAAAGATATTAGCCCTGATTTTGGAACATATATTCTTTTGATAAATGGGCTTTCTCAGAACAGAAAGTTACGGCAGTCATGCTTATTTTTCGAAGAAATGGTGTTGAAGGGATTCAGACCTAAACATAATACATACAATAAGCTATTGGAGGCACTAGAAAGGGAGAAAATGGATGATGCAAAGGAGAAGATCCAGCAGTTGATAATGAATGTTAAAACAAATTGAAGATTTAGGATAGTTCTTTGTGGGTATGTTTCTCTATGACATTAATTGCTTCAAAGTTAATGTATATTAAATCTTGTTTAAGCTCTAGTTGTTGATCCTGCTATGTTCTTCCATCATTTGCTTTCCTTCTTTCTAGTTGTAGTGAAAATGATTGTAATATTTCTTTTTATACATGATGTTTCTTCAGCTTCTTGCTAAAACTATTTCTAGCTTAATATAGTGGCTATTCTGTTAACGTAGTTATATACATAGTCATGTCAATCTGTTTTCATGCATTTTATGTCGAACATGACTTCCTGCAATAAACTTGTAGAGAAATAGAAAAGACAGTTTTATTATTCATGTAACCCTAACCTCTCTTAAATAGAGATTAGAAGGATATTATAAAATAGCTATGAGATAAAATCATATCTAATCACATCTCATAATATCTCAACAATATCTATTAAATCTACTAATACCAAATTATCAACAATATCTAACACCCCCCCTCAAGCTGGAGCATATATACTATATATGTCCACTTGTTACAAATGGAAATAGAACAACTAGTTGTAAGAGTTTTGGCAATGTATCTTTGCTTCAGCAATCAGAAAAGTGTAGTCACGGCCAGAAGAAACCTTAGGGGAGTAAGCCAATAGAAACACCCTAAGTGGGTAAGCCAATGGTAAACCTAGGCGAGTACGCCAGTAAAAAGTAACCCTAGGCGAGTTAGCCACTAGAGAGTAACCCTAGGCGGGTCAGCCAGTAGAAGCGAGTTAGTTAGTAGAAGTAACGTCAAAACTAACTACGTACTTTTGCATTCAACCATCGAAATATGATGAACAACGATACTGCTCACGGTAAACAGTGGTACTATCCATTGATGAACAAAACCATGATGAACAGAGCAGTTTTCCCTTTTGTGCTTAAGGTTTTTTAAGGGTATGGCTTTTTTTTATTAAGAACGAATAAAGGTTTAGTAAATAAATAATGTAGAAATCAAAGACGATGTCGAAGCCACCGAATATGTTATCGTAGCCGCCGAGAGGAGCATGAAGGCCATGCAAAACTCCCTCGATGGCTTCAAGATCTAAAAAGATGGGAAAAGTTGCTTGGATCGAGTTAGCTCTAATGCTATGTAGAGAAATATAAAAGACAGTTTTATTATTCATCTAATTCTAATCTCTCTTAAATAGAGACAAAGAGGATATTAGAAAATAGGTATGAGATAAAATCATATCTAATCACGTCTCACAGTACCTCAACAACATCTCATAATATCTACTAAGAGCATGTTTGGCAACATACTTTTAAGTTACTTATTTTACTTGTAAGTAACTTTTTATTTATAAGTTAACACGATCATATTTGGTGAGTGTTCACTTATCTACTTATTTTTAACTTATAAATAGTCAAAAAATAAATCCAACTTATTTTTGGCTACTTATAAGTAGTTTTACTCATTTACGTCAAAAGACCATAATACCCTTCATACCTCTTTATTAATATTAGTTACTAATAACCATAAATAATGTAATATATAAAATATATTTTAAATAAACATTTTTTTATTAAAATATTAATAATATTATTGATTAGTTAATTACTAAATAATTTACTGATAATTACCACTCACTTAATTAGTTTTCTTTTTTATTTTTAAGATTAACTAATTATTATTGTTAATTGTTACTTAATTAACAAATAAATGTATTAATAATTATTAATTAATTAATTTGTTATATTTTCATTTTTAAAATGTATAGTTTTCCTTAGTAACTAATTTGGTAAGTAATAAATAAATTTACTAATAATAATTATTTAATTAATTATTTATATATTTTTAAGAATAAAACATTATTCTTATTAATTAATTAGATAACTAATAGATAAAGTTAACAATAATTACTACTTAATTAATTATTTTATTTTTAGAATAAATAATTATCTTTATTAATTTTTATGGTGTTCCCATTTTCGTCAAAATATAACTCAATACCAAGTAGCTGACAAGTGTACTTCTACACGTTATGCCCCAATCAACTTGGCGGCCAGAGACAATTGGGGTACACGCTATGCCCCAATCAACTTGGCGGCCAGAGACAATTGGGGACAGACGGTACAACTCAATGTCGACACGAAAGACGATGTATGTCGACATGAAAGGCAGTGCTTGTCGACACGAAACACGATGCTTGTCGGCCCCCTTCTATTGAAGACAAGTCGCTACGAGTCCACTCGACCACTTGCCAGACGCCTTGTAAAGTCGACTCGAAAGCCGTTACTTCTCGACGAAGCTAAAGGAATGTTTTGGTCTCGAGCCTTTCCCTCTATGACAACGTGTCAACATCGCATTTAATACTTGGCATGTGCCATCATGACTCTAGCCCAGATAGTCTTCATGACTCATCGGACCACGTGGGCCCTGCCATGTCGCCAGTCTCTTCCCATTTAATACCAAAGTGATCTTCCCTCCACTCGTTAACCGACACTTGTAAAGCAAGTGCTGACATGGCCGTCAGCCCATCCTTCGCCACCGCCTCTCTGCTCTCGGCCAAAGTGACCAATTTACTCTTGCCACCTTAGTATAAATACAGGTACTATTTCAACTTGGGTTGGGACCGAATTTTGGATTCTGATAAAAACTCTATAACTTTGCAAATCATACCGCACACACAAGAATTACAGCAATTCTTTAAAACCTCACTCAAGTTCATCAGCTAACTTGATCGTCGGAGGTACAACGGGGGAACTAAACCCCACCCTCTTCTGAATTACTACTTGTGTAGATTTTTCAGATACCCTAATTCAAGAACTAGACATAAAGTTAGGGAAGAAAGCGATCCCTTCATCAATCCTCAATAAATTCATCCAAACACGGATATAACTGACTGTATGATCACTAGTACATCAATAGTTTGGCGCCCACCATAGGGCCTTCTTTTCTTTTTTGAGAAAACATGTCAAGTTCTGAACAAGGGTCTGATTAGACTCACACTGTAGAGTGACATCAGAGCTACGTTACTTGAGATCAACTTGAGGAAACAGCTTACAAGCTCTCTCAGTCTTTCAAAGAGAAATTTTTCGTCCTTACAAACGAACTTCTCAGTCGTCTTCCACAGCCGTAGTGAGCTACCTCAGCTCTCCCTCCACCTTCTAGAGACCGGCGGTCAGAGACTTATTCTCCTAGCGGGGTCCAGCGAGTAATCCAGCATCGAACTCCTCATGCTGCCGTCAAGCAGATGGGGTATCACAATGAGCAAGCATCTCC